ATTGAATCATTTTGATCCTTACACCTCTTAAGCACTTGAATTGCAAAGAGAGCGCTAGAAAGAAGTAATGAGGAAATTTGGGTTAACTTTTGAGTAGAACCAATAGAAGGAAGAAATGTGCACTTACAGTTTAATAAAAACTCCACTAGCAGCAAAGCAAAAATACAAAAAAAAGAAAAGAAAAAAAGAAGAAGAATAATTGAATAAATAAAGGTTTCTTATTTTTGCTAGTGAATGTGATATGAAGTAGTGTGTGAAGAAGAAGGAAGAATATTTTGGGGTGAACTATCTTGTGATGATTGAAGTGGAGTGAAGGAATTGCGCTTAAAAATTGAATACGTGATGTGTTAAAGTGTTTAGCAGGGTTAGCCACTATATCCCAAATATATCCCACCCGTCTCTTAGCCCACATTACAAACATAATAAGTTTTAGTTGATTTCAGACCAAGCGGGCCTATATTAGTAGAGATTTACATAATGGGCAAACCTATGGTATCTTTTGCGTGCATGTGACTTCATTGAGAGAGTGAGTGATTTATGTGTCAGTCCTTAAACTATATTCAGTCATGTGATTTGGATGTGTGGACTGATTACTCTTTATTTAGAGAGTGTTACGGCGAGATTATAGCTAACGTGTCAGGAATTAATCCGACAATTGGGAAAATCGTAACCCTAGATCCTTTTATCCTTGAATTCAACTCCATTCTTGCTAATTGATAGTTTTTATTGTCATTTCTCTTTAGTTAAGTAATTTCTGTTAATTCACAAATCAATTCTTGAACTCTAAAAATTGTCTGAGTTTATTATTATCGATACTAAAAAGTTGAAGCAAATAGGTTAGTTCCCTGTGGGATTCGACTCCGGACTCTTGAACCGGATTATTTTTGCAGCGACCGCTTAGTCCTTTTTATAAGACATAGTTGGGCGTAATCAATTACCATATATACAACCCAAAGGTAGATTATCACAAACACTAACACAAATTCTCTCCAAAAATAATTTTTTCAAAAGCTAATCTAGATACATAAATTTATTTCTAAAAGTCGTTTTCAAAAGTACACCAAAAACAAAATCCAAACATCAATTTATAGTAAGTAAGCAATATAAATAAATAAATCTTGAAAACGCATAGGAGGATATGATTTTAGCTAGGATCAAAGGTAAAAGGTACTGTATACATAATAACTCAATACATACAAAAAAAACCAATCAACATTCAGTTTCTAATGGGATATGAATCATAGGATAAAGACAGACCTTGACATATTTATGGAGAGGGGCTTAACTTAGATTTGGGTAATTAAACAATCTTCGTCGTGTCCTAGGAAGTGAGGCTTTATAGAACAGCATTCACGGACAAGAATTGAACAATAAATAAATAACATATGTCTTTACATACAATCTTACCACTAAACATGTCTCATACTTATATCATTCCAATTTGGTGTGGTTGAAAGAAAAATATTGCTTACATAAGGTTAAGGATGAAAGGAAAACAGTGCTTATAACATTTTTTTCATTCTATATAACATCATTAAAAATAATTTGAAATTAAGACTAGAAATTAATTTGTGTATGTTTATTTTTAGGAAAGAACTGTATATGTCAATTTTCCAAAAGTGAACACATCGATCTGAAAGTAGAAAATCAAACACACGCACACGTAAAGTGAACCACGTCCAAAAGTGAAATGAGAAGTGGAAAAGCCAAAAACAGAAAAATTAGAGAAATTCTGATGGCCAATGCCCAATAGACAGGAGGTCAATCAATGAATAGATTTTCCCATGTTTCAGAGGAGGCCTATCTTTGGGTCCCACACTCATCCACTCCCAAATTACACAACAAACTCCATTAATATTGTTTGCTACAGTATTACTACTTGAAAAATCTATACTTTTTTTATTGGCGTATTTGATTGTATACAATGAAAAAAAATTAAAGGAAGACATTTGATTTTAGGTATATAGTCCCTTCATTAAATTTTTAAGTATCTTATATTCCTTTTTAGTTTGTTTCAAAAACAATGTTTTTTTTATATTTAGTACTAACTCTTTAAATCCAACTTTTCACATGATATATTTAAGATTACAAGATTCAAGGATATTTTGGTACATTAGATACATCTTTAATTTAAGATTACAAGATTTAATAATTTTTCTTATTTTCTTAAACTCTGTGCTAAGTCAAACTAATACACATACATTCGATACCAAGTACTCCATCCATTCAGTTTTACTTGTCCATATGTCCTTAAGAAATAATAAAGAGAAATTTTCATAAAGTACTATCTTTTAGTAGTAATTAGTCATCTATAGATACCATTTGCTATATTATGGATTATAGATACATTTTCTATGGTTATAAGATGTATTTGATGTATTTAAACTATTGTATTCATGAATACAGTAGCAAAAATAGGCGTGAATCAGGGAAGTCCAGCTAATCAGTTGTTGTATTCGAGTGTATTCGACTGTATTCATGGAGTGAAACATGGGATTACAGCTGGATAAATTATTTTATTCGACTGTATTCACGGCGTAAAATAAGAGATTACACTGTTTTTAAAACGGAAAGTGAATCAATTAACATAATACATTCCTAATATAACTCAACAAACTCAATTATAACACATAAATTTTGTATTTTCAGTTATAAAAAAGATTCTCAACCGAAAAATACACCAAAAACATAGCAATCTTCAGAGAAATTATATAATACATCTGAATACGTAAATTATATTAATTAAAAAAACATGAATACATTCATGGCATATAGCGAGATAGTGAATACAATGAAATACATAGAATACAACGGGATACATTGAAATACAATGAAAAAAAGACAGTGAATATAATGAAATACATGGAATATAACGAAATACATTGAATTACAATGAAAAAAAGACAATGAAATACATGAAAATACAGTGTGATTCGTTGAAAATACATTAAAATATATTAACGAAAAAACAAGTTGCTCAGCCCCAAAATCCGTCGTCTTTGTTCAAGAACAAACCCTAATTTCCGACGAATCCGCCGTCGAGCAAAAACCCTGAATGGAGACGGTTGTTGCTTTTATTAAAGCCTTTCGATGTGTTACCGACAAACCAATCAGATAACAATTTTCATTTCAGAAACTCTAAGGTAATCTCACATAGTTAAAGCAACTTAATATTTACGGTTTTTTCTTTCTCTGTTGTTGCTACATTTGTTAAAAACTCGAGAAAAGTCAGCAGGTTTGTGCGTTAACTCGTTAACGAACAGAGGCAACAATCGTGGTTTTCTAGGAGAAGAGAGTAAAGTGTATGCAAAAAGAGAGAGAGAACGTGGTTTGTGAAATTTACCATAATTATGTGAGAGAAAATCTAAAAAGGGAGAGAGAAAAATATTAATTAGCGTTTATGGTGCCTTAAGTGTAGGATATAACTATAATTAGATATTTTATTATAAAGGGTAAAAGACAGCTATACAAGGGCGGCTCAAGGGTCAAGCAAGTGAGGTCCTTGCTTTAGGCCCCTCAAAAATTGGGGCCCCCAAATATTGTTAGTAATTATTTTTATGTCTCTAAACATTTTCATTAAAAAACTGAATCTTCTAAGAAAAATCACTAATTCTTTGTGAAAAGAAAGAAGTAGTTATGAAAAAGAACAACCTAAGGAAGGAGACATGGGCAATGAGCCTCTACCTGAAAAGAAATATATAATTTTTAACAAGCCATATATTTTTTCTAGGCCATGTCATCCAAATTCATATATGTAAATGTTCTTTTTTTTTTCCCTTCGTATGTATATGCATATTCTGTCAAACAAAAAAATATCTTATATAATTCGAATTGCGCCTTCATTTTCATAATCTTTCTCATGTTTTCAAGCATTTAAATAAGCAAATTGAAGAAGTGAAACTCTCTCATGGATTAGTTTATTTTGAAATCAATTATCAAGTTATCAACTTTCAGAATCATATTTAGTCGTTCTAACTTTTTATCTTTTTTTAAAAATCAGAATTTAAACATGCCAACAACAAAATATGAATAACTTTTTAATACAACCGCAAAAAGACATTGCTAATAATTTTTTTTAAACAATAGATAGAGTTTAATAAAAGTATAGGAAAGTGTTTTTAAAATGAACAAGTCTCTGATCTTATTGAGTTAGATGGTAATGAAATTTAAGAAAAAGAAGAATTCTGTATGTCAAAAAGTTAAAAAAAATTACAAATAAATAAATTTGAATATTTTTTTAGGCTTCTTAAGGCCTCTTAATAAAGTTCGCTTTAGGCCACAAACATCATTGAGCCGCCCCTGTAGCTATATAATATAATTTTTTAAAATGATATTTATTTAAAATAAATAGGGTACTAAGCTTTTCTATTGGGTGTAAAATTTTCAATAATAAATGAATTGCATATTTTGCCATAGTTACCATAATAATGATAGTATTTTGAGAAATCTTGAGAAATAATTTGTGAAATGAGTAATTAATGATAAAATTAAAACAAGACAAAATAAATATGATCGTCTCCTGATTTGCTAAAATAGACAAATAAAAGTAAAAATATAATTTGAGCATAATGAACAAGTAAAAGCGAACAAAGGGAATAACTACTTTCAGAACTGAACATTCGCTTAATGGTTGAAAATTATCACGAACTTATACAAAATATAAGAGACCTCATAAAAGTTTGAAATTGCATGCTATTTGACGATGTAATAGTTGTTGCTATCATCAGTATATAAACCTTAAGGCTTGAGTTTATAGTAGTACTGTAGTATTTGGGGTTGAATAATTTTTTTTTTTGTAAAGCAACTGTCCAAAAAGCAACTATGTAATAGAATAATTCATTTTTTTCTCAAGAAACAAGAAAAAGGAGGGTGAATATTTGGAGAAGTGAATAATTAATGCAACTGAAGTTCCGAGAAAGAAGCAGCGAATCCCACGTCTGTAAGAGGGAGAAAACACACAAACAAAACAACAACATGTTTATGTTATTTTATGTTACACATTACACTCCTTAAAAAGAGAGAGAAGAGGTTTGTGTCCTAAAATACTGGCATTGCTTCGGACTTTGGGACAGAGAGAGAGAAAGAGAAAGACTCTTTCTTCTTTCTCTCCTGAACCACATCATCGTCCTACCTTCTCTCTCTTCTTTCTCTCTCTTACGTTGTACATTTTGATTTTCAAGAAAACTGCTGCATTCTTCTGTTTCAGGGTCTTTTTTTGCAGTTATATCAATTGCCATTTCCTTATTTCTTGACCCTTTCCCTTTTCAGGTACCCTTTTCTTTCTTTTTTTCCTTTAATATTTTGCTTTAAATAGATATTGAGGAAATGCCTTTGTGGCCTATGTCTTGTTTTTTTTTTTTAATTACAAGAAAATGTGCTGCCCTTTTTTTTCTTCTGTGAAACTTTGCCTGTTGTAATTTGGTAAATGAATTTTCTTTCGGAAGGATTATGTATTTTGTGTTGTGGTTGTTGTGTTTGTTATGTTTCAAATGCTGGCAAAATAGCTGCAGCTTAGCTGAAATCTTTTGTGATTTCCCCTCAAAGAAAGTTAAATCTGTTGTAAAAATTGAATCTTTATGGAATATATGCAGGGGCTTTTTCCCAAATTTAATGCTCAGGTAGACTCAAATTTGTCTAAATAAAATATAGTAATTTTCAAGAAAACTCAGATCACGGGTTCAACCCGTGGAAACAACCTCTTGCAGAAATGTAGGGGTACGACTGCGTACAATACTCTTATGGTCCGGCCCTTCTCCGGACCCCGCGCATAGCGAAAGATTAGTGCACCGGGCTGCCCTTTCTTTTTTGGGATCTTGATGGTACTTAGATGAGCTGTGATTAATTTATACATTTGAGGTTAATTTAGCACCTCCGTTGTGTTACAGGCCTGGCCTAATTCCTCTGGGTATCCCAATTCACATAAAAAGGAATGCTTGTACGAGGATGCCCTTCAGTTCATGTGTTTTTCCTTTTAGGAAAGTTATCATGTTGTGGTGCAACTGATTTAGGCTTTCCTTGAGAGGAAAAAAGAAATGGCGCGAGGCAGGATAAGGGCGAAGATCCGAAGGAGCAGTTTGTACTCATTTGCTTGCTATCGGTCGCGTGCCAAGGAAGATGGTCCCCATCAGTTAGGCCCCGGGTTCTCGCGAGTTGTACATTGTAACCAGCCCCATCTCCATGAAAAGAAACCTCTTAAGTATTGCAGCAATCACATATCCACCACAAAGTACAACATCATCACATTCCTACCCAAGGCCTTATTCGAGCAATTCAGGCGTGTCGCTAACTTGTATTTTCTCATGGCTGCGATTGTGTCAGCCACAACAAACCTGTCCCCATTCTCAGCTTTCAGTATGGTAGCTCCGTTGGTCTTTGTGGTCGGGTTGAGTATGGCGAAGGAAGCCTTAGAAGACTCGCGGAGGTTCATACAAGATACGAAGGTCAATCATCGGAAAGCTGGTGTCCACAGGGAAGATGGTGCGTTTACTCATAAACCGTGGATGAAGATTTCGGTTGGAGACATTGTGAAAGTGGAAAAGGATCAATTTTTCCCGGCGGATTTACTTCTTTTATCGTCTAGTTATGAAGATGGAATCTGTTATGTGGAAACTATGAACTTGGATGGAGAGACAAACTTGAAGGTAAAGCGAGCGTTGGAGGTTACTCTACCTTTGGAGGATGATGAGGCTTTCAAGCAATTCAGTGCAACCATAAAATGTGAAGATCCTAATCCTAGTCTTTACACTTTTGTGGGCAACCTCGAGTATGATCGTCAGGTTTATCCTCTTGATCCGAGTCAGATTCTCCTCAGGGATTCAAAGCTTAGGAATACAGCTTATGTTTATGGAGTTGCTATATTTACTGGTCATGATAGCAAAGTTATGCAGAATTCTACAAAGTCTCCTTCTAAAAGGAGTAGGATCGAACTACAGATGGACAAGATTATTTACCTCCTTTTTACTGTCCTTCTCTCGATCTCATTTGTCAGTTCAATCGGCTTTGCCATATATGCAAAATTTCAATTGCCAAGCTGGTGGTATATGCAACCTATGAACGAAGTAAATAATGTGGTCGATCCAAGACAGCCTGAGTTGTCAGGCCTTTTGCATCTGGTCACTGCTCTTATACTATATGGTTATTTAATTCCTATATCCCTCTATGTTTCCATTGAAGTCGTGAAGGTCCTACAGGCATTGTTCATAAACCAGGATATTAGTATGTATGATGATGAGTCTGGAACTCCTGCTCAAGCGCGAACATCAAACTTAAATGAGGAGTTGGGGCAGGTCGATACTATCCTCTCAGACAAAACCGGCACTTTGACATGCAACCAAATGGACTTCTTAAAATGCTCCATTGCTGGTACGGCATATGGAATGCGTGCAAGTGATGTAGAACTTGCAGCCGCAAAGCAGATGGCCGAGGACCTTGGTGGGCAAGATCCCGCTTCACCGAGACGTGAGTATGAGAGTGGTTCATCAGAAATTGAACTAGAGAGTGTCATCACTTCTAAAGATGAATTTAAAGTTGCAATAAAGGGGTTCAGCTTTGAGGATAGCCGCCTTATGAAAGGAAATTGGATGAAAGAGCCAAATGCAGATGTCATCTTGTTATTCCTTAGGATACTTTCAGTTTGTCATTCTGCTATTCCCGAGCTAAATGAGGAGACTGGCAGCTTTAACTATGAAGCAGAGTCGCCAGATGAAGGAGCATTTCTTGTTGCAGCTAGGGAATTTGGCTTTGAGTTTTGTAAAAGAACTCAATCAAGCATTTTTGTACGGGAGAGATATCCTTTTTTTCAAGAGCCAATTGAAAGGTGAGAGAAACTCACATGCTCGTAAGTTGCTCTCAACAACAATTGCATACCACTTGTAGTATGTCACTATTTTCTAAGCTTACATCTTGTTGCTCTTCGTTTAGGGAATTCAAAGTTCTCAATCTATTGGAGTTCACTAGCAAGCGGAAGAGAATGTCTGTTATAATTCGCGATGAGAGTGGCCAGATTCTTCTCTTGTGTAAAGGAGCAGACAGGTGTTTCTTTGAATGTCCTTTTTATTACTATGAACTATGCATCCTTAAAGTAGGTGATCTAAGTGACTATTTTGCTATCAAACACGCTGTTAAATTGTCTGTCAATTACAATATGCTTATTCTTTGATTACTCTATTACCCCTTTCCTCCTATATCTTTCCTTTGTTTGG